ATGAATGGGATGGCACAGTTTAGAAACATGAAGACTAAAAACAGACAAGTTGGATATTTCTAGAATGTAAAGATCTCAATAAATCTTGGAAAACCAGGAATATCTCCCTACCTCTGGAGCTTGAAAGAGATATATTAATAAACCAAAACAAGAAAACACTATTTTAACATTACAATGCCCATTCGTGGGTGATATTCTTAGATGAAATATTAGACATCAGGAGTCTCAAGACTATAAAAGGCCACACTTGGCATCAGATTAATTTTAAAAAAGATATAAAGATAGGAAAAGTAGCATGCCACGAGCAAAACCCCACAGGCTTTTGTTTTCCTTGGGAATCCTTATGGTAGTTTCTGGGCTAGTCTTTGACCCTTCAAATGACAGCTCAGATGCAAGAGAATGAGACTACTGTAGGCAGATGCAGTAGCCACCCTACCTTAGAACCATGTCCCAAATAGAAACCAATATCCTTGTGACAATCTCAGCTTTTAGGTCTTTGTAAAGGATGTGCCCAGTTATAAAAGTTCTCTCATTCAGAGAAGCCCAAAGCAATGGCTTCTCATCAAGCATTTGTAGTTCATTCATAGTCCTCCAAGTAATGACTCAGCTTACCAATCAAATGTCATTTTATCACATTATCATTTTATCATAGCAGTGTTGCTTGGTAACACAACTGACATTCTACCTCCATTAGATTTCCAGAGAACTGAGCTAAAAGCATCTTAACCCAAGGCCAATTTCTCATGTAAAAGGGGAAAAAGTTTTGTGAAACCTTTACCCACAAGCATAATGAGTCTTAAACTCAGTATTTTACCTCCAAAAATACTACTGTTAAGAAACAGAAATGAATTTGGACAAATTCATGAATGACATGGTTAGAAGAAGCTTTTCAGAAGTAAGTAAATAGCTGCCTATAAGAGAGAACAATTTCTACTGGATGTTATAATCCTTAAGACTGCTTGCAGGAATAACTGTTAAGAGGAATGGATATAATTAAAAAAAAAAAAAAAGAGGAATGGATAAAGGCTCTGCTTGAGTTCTGGATAGTTTCTTTGAGAGCTGAGATGACAGCAGGGACGTCATTCTCCCATGAGATACCCTCCAGCCCCCATAGACTCTTTACTTTCCTTAATAACTTTTTGCATTCTCATCTTCTATCAAAGTATAAAACTAACACAAATTCTTAAGACTATAAACCACAATTTACCATGTTGTCAAAAATAGTCTATCCCATAAAAGAAGATGGAGTTAACTTGTGATGGGTGTTCCTTAGGCAATACTTTGTTTCATAATCTTATTAACACTGACACTTTTCAATTTTAAAGAGATCTTATCAACACCAACACTTCTTAATTAAAACTCAGAATTAACAAGAAGGACATGGGGCCAGAGATGAAATATTCGAGAAGTTGCCTAAGGATGCGCTCACACACATCCTAAATATCAGTGAATCTACATGGGAGTATGCTGGTTCATAAAGATTTCCCTTAAAATGTCAAAGTTTGATTATTAAAATAAACATCCTTGTGTGAAATGGTGTTTCTGCTTTACCTTGATTGCACGGATGGCAACTATACCCAAATTCTCCAATTCTGTTAATGATACCTAAATGATGTTGATATAAGCTTAGGAAAATGACAAGAGTGTGCATGGCAAAATATTTTGCTATAGCTGCAACCGTTAGGTATATAATTGAAGCAGCTTAAGGAAAGCCAATGAAATTAAGCTGACAGAAGAGTTTTAATATTGATTTCTGTTTACCAGCAATCATGAAAAAGCTGTGAAAATCAATGAATGGATTTGCAATAGTATACTCAACTGTAGATTAAACTCACATTTAATTGTGTAGATTCCAGAGTATCCAGCAGTTAATACATCCTATGTGTTAAAAGTCTGGAATGGGAGGCTAGCTATGGCCCAAACCTGATTTCAACCAAGTACCTAACAACTACACAAAACTCTACTAAGACAAGCAAAAGATTAACCTACTTCGGCAAACTGGCTTATGAGAATGGATAGAGACATTCTTAAATTCTGAAATTTGACCAGAATCTATGTGTTGCTGCCACCCTGAAAGCAAAAAGGTTTTTGTTTAGAAGCCACTCTCTACCTTCTCTCTCCATCCCCAAAGTAGTTCAGCCTCTATCTTTGCTTTCAAAACTCTGACAGACAGGCTTCTACACTCCAGGCAGGGGCCTAAAGAATTCTTATCTAAGGACATGGACTAGCCCCCAAAACAAGATTTAATGATACTGATATAAAGGGGTTCCAAGGAAATGACCATCTAATTAAGAAGAATTTCACAGACCAAAAGTGGCAGGGAAGAAATAATTTAAAAGACTATTTGGCTGGGTGCAACGGCTTACGCCTGCAATTCCAACACTTTGGGAGGCTGAGTGGGGAGCATCACTTGACCTGGGGGTTTGAGACCAGCCTGGGCAACATAGCAAGGTCTTGCCTTTACACACACACACACACACACACACCTGCGTGTGGTGATGCATGCCTGTATCCCAGCCAGTTGGGAGGCTGAGCTGGGAGGATTGCTTGAGCCCGTGAGTCAGAGGTTGCAATGAGCCATGAGCATGCCACTGTACTGTAGCATGGGCAACAGAGTGAGGCTCTGTCTCAAAAACAACAACAGAAAGAATATTTGATAGCATTGAACATCAGTCTCTAGACTAAAAAGGCTCTCCAAGTATCCACTACAATTACCCAATGCGCAGGAAATCATGACGTTCCAGAACACAAGGATAAAGAGATCAGAAAAGCTTCCATAAAGACCAGGTCATATATAAAGGGAGAAGAAAGATGTTTCAGACATGATAAATTTAAAAATAAAAAAATCTATCTCATATACACCATTTTCCCAGAAAGCTACTATAGTATATGTTCCATCAACGCAAAGTAGTAAACAAAGAAAGACAAAGACACAGGAGCCAGGCTTAACCAAAGGAGAGCACTGAAGGCAATTCCCAAGAATACACTGTAGCTGTGCAGAACCAGTGCACAATGGGTGTGGCAGGTAGCAGGTCTCCATAGAACAAGTAGATTTGAGAATGTTACCTGATCTGTTTGACTATTTGCAGAGGAGTTTTAGAGTTCTGTTAAAAAGTTTGTAGCTGTGTTAGAGATTGGATATTTGCAACATATAACCAAGAATAGTTTAGAATCTAGAACACAAGAATAATAAAATATATATTGATAAGAAAAAGATAAATAACTCAATAGAAAAACTAACAAGACTTGAACAGGCAGTCTCAAAAGAGGAACTCTAAATGGCTAATAAACATATGAAATATGCTTATCCTTATTAGTAATCAAGGAATTACAAATTAAAAGTATAATAAGATGCCATTACAAAACTGACAAAACTATCAAAACAATTTTTTATGAGTATGTAAAGCAACAGGAATTCTCATACAGCAGTGACTAAAGTGTAAAATGGTAGCACCCCAGGGAAAATGGTTTGGCATGATACACAACACCCAGCAATTCCACTATTGGGTAAACACCCCAGAGAAAGGTATGTACATGTGCTTACTTACTATTGAAATTATATATTTATGTTTGTTTCATAACTTAATTATTGAATGTCTTCCTAAATATAAGTAACACAAGGACAGCGATGGTGGCTCTTCAGTTTACTTGAACCTAGCACTGTGAATTATATTAGTTATTCAAAAAATATCTATGGAACCAAATTGAATCAGAAAACACTAATATAGCAGTAGAAAACTTAGCAAAAAACATTTTTAAAAAGGACAGGAAGCAAACATTCACAGACGTGTAAAAAATGTTAAACCACGTTAGTAATTAAGGAAATTAAAATATGAAAAAATACCATTTTTGCCATAAAAAGACATTAAAATAATTACAATGCTCAAAGCTACAAAAGTACAGTGACATAGATCCTCTCATAGGTCACTTGTGGAAGTATAAGATGATATACAGGTGCATAAATTATTATTATTATTTTTTGAGACAGAGTCTCACTCTGTTGCCCAGGCTGGAGTGCAGTGGCACGATCTCGGCTCATGGCAAGCTCTGCCTCCCGGGTTCATGCCATTCTTGTGCCTCAGCCTCCTGAGTAGTTGGGACTACAGGCGACCACCACCACGCCTGGCTAATTTTTTGTATTTTTAGCAGAGATGGGGTTTCATCATGTTAGCCAGGATGGTCTCGATCTCCTGACCTCGTGATCCGCCCATCTTGGCCTTCCAAAGTGCTGGGATTACAGGCGTGAGCCACCGCTTGCCTGGCTTTTTTTTTTTTTTTTTTTTTTTTGGGAGACGGAGTTTTACTCTTGTTGCCTAGGCTGGAGTACAATGGTGTGATCTCAGCTAACTGCAACCTCCATCTCCTGGGTTCAAGCGATTCTCCTGCCTCACTCTCTCAAGTAGCTGGGATTACAGGTATGAGCCACTGCGCCCAGCCCAGAGGCACAAATTCTATCGTTTTTCTGGAAAGCAATTTCGCAACCTGTGTTGAATCTTGAAAATAAAGATGCCCTTTGACAGAAAAACTAGTAAAATTCCAGCTTTAAAACCATACCAAAAATTAATTTTAAAATTTGAGATAAGACTTATTTATAAACTTTTCATTCATTAAGAATTGATATAAAACATTGGAAATAAATGAGCAAAAATGGGATAATGGTTATATATATTTTAGGACACAAACATGGGCTAGATAAATATTAAAATGTGAGACTTTCAAAGAGTTGGTAATACCATAGAAAAATGCTCACAGTCTAAGTGTAAAGTAAAAATGGCAGAATAAAGAACTGTATGAAGTATGACTTCAATTGTATTAAATATGTATGTGTATGTATACACAATACACAGATTACCACAATTATTATAGCAAAATAGACTGCAAATACAGTTAATGTTGAAAGAAGAAACTCTTACTATTACAGTTCTTACCAAGGCTTATTAAACATTCTCTGCTTTAACACTTAAAAAAGAATCATAATAAATGTCTTCATTTACACTTACCAGATCAATATTTTGCATTATATCCTGAAATGAAGGATGAGTTCGAAATTGTTCGAAGAGATCGCGTTTGTAGAGCAGGGCGTATACCAAGTTTGGGTTGTGGTGAAGGGAATTTGTCAGGCAGGAGTTGATGATCTCTAACATCATTCGAATCACTTCTTCAATGACATTTAGGTCTTGTGCCTCATAAAGAAAAGAAACCCCAACACAGAGTCACTCTTTTTCTCCTTGCAATAGAATTAATTGAAATAAGAGAAATTGCCTTAAAATTATAACAGAATTGGAAAGATCACACAGAGAAGCTCATCAAGATTATTTCTGTCAAGAATCTTAAGAATGAGGTTTGTCAGTTACTAAAGGATTTGGGTTAAAATCTTTTGAACTTAGAATGGTAATAATTAGGAATTTCATATAATAAATTACAGACATCAATCTAGAGGGAAATTTGGAGCTTACTCAGTTCCTCATTTAATAGATCCATATTGGTATTCTCACTATTGTACTACCCTAAATCGTTAAGACTGCCACGATGTAGAGTAGTGGTAGGGTAGTACCCATTCCAAGAAAATGACTACTAATTCAGAAAATGACTTCATTGCTCTACACTGTCATTTCAGTCTTTATATTTCAGATAAACAGACTATGATTTTGTCAGTGTTTCCTCGGAGTGAATAGTCTTTGGGAATCTGAACATTAAATAGTTACCAAACAGCAAAGCTCAAAGTAAGCAATCAGCAAACCTCTTGGAAGAATAGGGCAATGGAAGGAGCAAGCACATGGGTATATACAACAGACTTTCCTCTCCTCTTCTGTCTTCTATAATATATTTGACAGTTGAAGCAAAAATTATAACATTGATGTGGTTCTCAATGTATGTAAAGGAATATCTAAAACAATTATAAACAAAGGTGGGTAAGGGATTTAAAGGGACAAAGGTTTCTACAGCTCACTTGAACTGGTAAAATATCAACACTACTAGACTGCGATAAGCTATGTACATATAATGTAATGTCTAGAGCAAATCTACCTGACGAGAAACAAAAATACTATAGATATATTAAGGCTGGGTGCGGTGGCTCATGCCTGTAATCCCAGCACTTTGGGAGGCAAAGGTGGGCAGATCACTTGAGCTCAGGAGTTTGAGACCAGCCTGGGCAACATGGCAAAACCCCATCTCTACAAAAAATACAAAAATTAGCCAGGCGGGTAGCACACACCTGTAGCCTCAGCTACTTGGGAGGCTGAGGTGGGAGGATGGCTTAAGCCTGAGAGGTGGAGGTTACAGTGAGTTGAGATTGCTCCACTGCATTCCAGCCTGAGTGACACAGACAGACTGTCTCAGAAAAAAAAAAAGAAAAAAAAAAGAAAAGAAAAAGAAAAAAAGAACTAGAGATATATAAAAATGGGATTCTAAAAAAATTTTCATACAGGAAGGCAGGAAAAATGCAAATGAAAAAGGGGAAACCAACAAAAAACAGAAAGTAAAATGGCAGTTACGTATTAATAACTACATTAATTGCAAATAGTCTACAATAGTTAAAATCCAAGGAATGTCAGAGTGGATTAAAAGCACACCACCCAACTATATGCTATCTATGAGAAACTTCTAATATAGTTGGGTTGAAAGTAAAAGGACGGAAAGATACCTACGCAAACATAAGTCAAAAGAAAGCAGGAGTGGCTATACAGTATACCGTATCTTTAAGGGATTGGTTCCAGGACATCCCCGTGCCTTGGAAATACCAAAAATCTGCAGATGCTCAAGTCCCTTATACAAAATGGCATACTACAGTTGCTCACTCCATCCATAGAATAAAAAAAATCTGTGGGTATGGAATCCGAGGATATGAAGGGCCAACTGTATGTACTTTCAATCTGTGTTGGTTGAATCTGTGCATGCCTAACTCAAAATATGGAGGACTGACTTATATTAGTATTAAAGTAGACTTCAGAGTCTATCTGGCCTATAAAATAAAAAGTATTGACTATCTGGCTCTTTACAGAAAAAGTTTACTTTCCCTGCTTAAGAGATGAAAAGGTATACCTATTTCCATACAATTTACCTCTGTCTTGCTTTTCTTACTTTTTTTTTTTTGAGTCAGGGTCTCACCCTGTCACCTGGGCTGGAGTGCAGTGACGCGATCCTAGCTCACTGCAGCCTTGAATTCCTGGGTTCAAGCAATTTTCCCATCTCAGCCTCCCAAAGTGCTGGGATTACATGGGTGAGTCACTGAACCCAGCCTCTGCCTCTGTTTTCTTAAATACAATGTTTAACATTTAATTGAAATGTATGAAACACACAACAAAGCAAGTAAAAGAATCCATGTTGAAGAGACAAAGTCATCAGCAGAATATGACAGAGATAAAACATTCTGAAAATATCAAAGAGGGAATCTAAAAGAACTATGATCTACAAAATTTGTTTGAATTGATTGGGAATTTCAGCAGAGTTAAAAACTATAAGAAAGAGACAAATGGTAAAGATAGAATTTTTGTAAAATGTGGTGACTGCAGTGAAGAATGCCTTAAACAGGTTTCAACAATAGACTGGACAGAGCTTGCGAATGAACTGCAAACCTGAAGGCAGGTTAACAGAAACTGCACAAACTAACCCTACAAAGAAAAAAAGAGTGAGAAAACAAGACAGAGAATCCAATGAGGGCTGTAAAATAATATGAAATGCATTAATATACATGTAATTGACTCCCAGAAGGAAAAGAAAGAAAGAATGGGGCAAAAGAGATATTTGAAGAGATAATGACTGAGCATTTCCTATAAATAATGAAAAAAAAAATCACACAGATTCAAGCACGTCAGAAAATATCCATGGTCACCCTACCCGCAAACAAAAACCAAAAGAACCATCTACTTAGATCCATCAAATTCAAATTATTAAAAATCAAAGACAAAGAGAAAATACTGAGGACAGTTTAAAAAACAAAAACAAAAACAAACACACACACACACACACTAAATACAGAGGCGCAGAGATAAGAGTCACAGCTGACTCTTAGGAGAAGCGATGCAGTCCAACCTAAATGTAGCGGCATCATTAAAGCACTGAAATAAAACAACAGTCAGCCAAGTATCCCATACACAGCAAAAATATCTTTCAAATATGAAGGTGAAAAAAAGACTTTTTCAGACAAAAATAAGCTAATTTATTACTTGCACTATACAAAATATTAGAGGGATTTCTTCAGGCAGAAGAAATATGAAAACAGACAGAAATGTAGATGTCCACAAGGGAAGCAAGATATTTTTCTTATTTTTAATCATTCTAAAAGAGAACTGACTTCTAAAGTAAAAATAGTAGACATGTAGTATAGGTTTATAGCACATATATATAACATGTAAAATATATCATAACGTTCTGCTGATGGGCATCCAATATATATCTAGTTTCCTTGTTTCTACGAATAAGGCTGATAAGCCTCCTGGTAGATGTGTTTATATATGGGTACGTTTATGTCTCTGGGATAGATTCCAGGAGAGGGATTGCTGAAAAGGCTGTATTTGTAATGTTAATAGATGCCGTCAGATTGTTTAGGGTGATGACAATACGTTTATACTAGCACTGTAGGAAGGCCCTTTCTACCATTTTTTCACCAACAGCAGGTATACTCGTTCTTTTTAAAACTCACTACCTGAAAGTAATAGAGAAATACACTGCTACTACTTTAGTGACCATTTCCCTGAATGGGAGTAAACTGCACATGTGAGGGATCTGGGTTGCACACTCCTTACGGGAAACTAATGCCTGATGATCTGAGGTGGAACTGAGGTGGTGATGCTAAGGCTGGGGAGCAGCTCCAAATACAGATTAACAAGCTCAGTGCTCCCCTTGATTCTACATTACAGTGAGTTGAGTTGTATAATTATTTCATTATATATTACAATGTATAATAGAAACAAAGTGTACAATAAATGTTATGCACTTGAATCATCCTGAAACCATCAACCAGTTCATGGAAAAACCATCTTCCACGAAACCGGTCCCAGGTGCCAAAAATGTTGGGGACTCCCACTTTGTATTCTTCAGCTTCACAACCACAAGTCTAGGTATTGGCTTATTCTTTTTTTTTTTTTTTTTTTTGAGACGGAGTCTCGCTCTGTCGCCCAGGCTGGAGTGCAGTGGCGCGATCTCGGCTCACTGCAAGCTCCGCCTCCCGGGTTCACGCCATTCTCCTGCCTCAGCCTCCCGAGTAGCTGGGACTACAGGCGCCCACAACCGCGCCCGGCTAATTTTTTGTATTTTTAGTAGAGACGGGGTTTCACCGTGGTCTCGATCTCCTGACCTTGTGATCCGCCCGCCTCGGCCTCCCAAAGTGCTGGGATTACATTGGCTTATTCTTATTCGTCTTGCTCAGTATATTCAGAGTGCACTTTTGATCTGACAACCTAGTCTCTTCCATAAAGATAACTTGGATAATCTTTTCTAATTATTATCTTCCAATTTATTAACTTTCTTTGATAGTGTCCAGTATAGATCAATCTTGTTTACTAAGTTTTGATTTTTAATGACTATATTTTTCATTTTAAGCTTTCTAGTTAACTAGTTCTCTCTCACAGTCATGTTATTTCATTTCTTTCTGTTTTTATTTCCCATATACTCTTTTTTATGAATATTATTCCTTCATTTATCTTTGAGGCTACTCAGAATATTCCCATAGTTATTCTATTAGTTTTTAATTCTATTTGGATAAATTTACCTTAATTATGATCATGACTGTTATTTTTCTATTGTTAATTTCAGCATGTATTTTGTTATGCAAGCTCATCTAATATGGTTTAATACTTCCAAATCTATAGGTTATGTGGTGGCTTCCTAGAGTCTCAGACTGAAACCAGGTCTCATAATTGGTGCCTTGGTGCTCCTGCCCTACAATCACACTAAAGACAGTACTGGCCAGGCTTATCACCATGCCGGTATCAGTTTGTTTCAAGATCCCATGGTAAGGCTGTTTCTGTGTACTCTTGCCTCCCTAGACATAGAATTTAACCGTTATTATTAACACATTTATTCAGGCTCTTTATTTTAATAAAGGATCTATTCCAGCTCCTAATTTCTAGCAGAGAACCTGGCACTAGTGTCTGGCCTACAGTAGCTGAGCTCCCAGCCACTTCTCCTCCTTCCAGCTTAGCAGGCTCACTGTTTTGACTGCTTTTTCTGTTTCTGTTCC